AATAAAATCAAGAAATAAAATCAAGAATGAAAAGAAAATTCAAGAAAGTCAAGATGGAGGATTCAATTAAGATATGAGAAATCTAAAATTTAATCAACTAGCTAATCTCAATTATATAAGCATAGACTATCAAACCATTTAAGGAAAGTATAACCTATCAAATTATCATCCAAGTCAAAATTACTATTCATGATAAAAACAACAACAAGATAGTAATCCTAGAATTCATAAGCATAACCTATCAAACCATTTAAGATAAGCATAAATTATCAAATTCTTCTTCTACCGATTAGTTTTCTAGTTGATTATCTTAAACATGAATATTTTAAGTGTAAGAGAATAATCCATACAATATAAAAGAAATTAGATTAGTTTCATACAATTCTAAGATTCCTACACGAATTAATTTCACATCTTAAGAAATAAAAACAAGAAGAAAAAGAGCTAATTACAAAAATAAAAAGAAAAGAAAAATCTAAATTATGAACAAGAATTAAATCTAACTACAAAGAATTAAAATATAAACTACAAAATAAATTATAAAAATTAAATACAAGAAAATAAATCTACTCTACAAATTAAAGTGCAAAAAGAAATAAAAATAAATCTACACTACAAGCATGAATGTAAATCTAACTAATAAACAATAATAAAGAAATTACTAAAAAGAAATAAAAGAGAAAAATAAAAGAAATGCAAACCTTCAAATTGCTCTTCATCTCCATCCTCATCATTCAACAAGGAGGAGAAAAGATAAATTTAAAGTGGAGAAAAATTATTATTATTAATTGTAACAAAAGTTATAATTTTTAGAAGGCCTTCTCAATTAAGAGTAGCCATCATCTCCAAATGGAGTTATAAAAATTTTCACACATCTAACCCCTTACTCTCTACCCCTATTTATAGTAAACATCAGTGAATAAGAGCCATTGGATTGAGAAATCTTATCCAAAAATAATAAATTTCAGCCATTAAATCGTAACAAACTGTACGTCCGTATCGATGCTGGCATCGATAGGGGTATCGATGAGGGCATCGAGATGGGTATTGATGCTGGCATCGATACGGGTATCGATGCTGGCATCGATACCCAGCCTTCTCCTGTTGCTGTCCGAGCTTCTCTCTTTCTTTGGGCTTAGGCTTTTTGATTTTGTTTTTCACTTTGACTTCTTGAATTCCCATTGGGCTTTTCTTCATTTCTTCATGCTTTATTGTTTTAATTTTGGGCTTTTGGATAAATTAATAATTTGATTTTCCAATGGGCTTCTTTGCTTCATTTCTTCATTTCTTCAAGGGGTTTTGATGAGAGATGAGATTTTGAGCTCTTATTCTTCATTAAACTGCAATTTAAGATAAAAGCAATTATTAGTGACATATTTATTCATATAAAATAGATAATGAGGGTATAAAATTATAATAAAATGTGATTATCAGCTCTTATGTTAGTCTTAACTCACCATGTATTAGTTCTAACTCACTACGTATTAGTTCTAACTCACTGCGTGTTAGTTCTAACTCACCGCGTGTTAGTTCTAGTTCTATATCATGGCTTGCTGTTCTTCCCAATCGAAGAAGTACTCACCAATGTGTACATTGAACTCTTCCCCGCCACTGCTGCCGCTACTGCCACCTTGATCTCTGGCTAATATCTCAATCCCTTCATATCTCCAGTGATCGTCGGAGAATCATAGACCGGCAAGCATTGGATCTCGCGATCGAATCCTAATTGCTCTTGGACTCTTGTGAGTTAGAACTAACACACGGTAAGTTAGGACTAACACAAAAATCCAAGAGCCATAAATTAGAACTAGAACTAACACGCGGTGAGTTAGACTAACACGCGGTGAGTTAGAACTAACACAAGAGCTCAAGAGCCATGATATAGAACTAAAACTAATACGCGGTGAGTTAAAACTAACACACGGTGAGTTAGGACTAACACAAGAACCCAAGAGCCATAAATTAGAACTAGAACTAACATGTGGTGAGTTAGAACTAACACGCAGTAAGTTAGAACTAACACGTGGTGAGTTTGAACTAACACACGGTGGGTTGTAAAAAGCTCGTCTCATTAGCCATGAAGATATAACAAAGAAAAGGAAATGGCTTCAGTTCTTCTTTCAACTCTCTATGCAGACGTGATTGATGCTGCATAAACATGTACTAAAAATGTTACAAGTGCACAACCGTATCAAGTTATAGTATAAAAAGTTATCGATCCCACGAGGAAGGTGTTTTGTAGGAGAAAATATAAATCGGTTCTTATGTTATGTGCGTGACAAATAGGAGTGACCAATAAGTGTGATTATGGAGAGATGGTGAGAATGAAAATGATTGTGTAAATGAATATAGTTGAGAGTGGAAGTGATAAAAAAATAAATAGGATCAATAAGGCAAGAACGAAAAATCAAGAAACAAATAAAAATCAAGAATGAAAAATAAAATTCAATAAAGCAAAGATGGCGGATTAAATTAAAGATATGGGTAATCTAAAATTAAACACACTTCTTAAAAAAGGGTGATTCCCTAGAGGGTTCTAGCCTAAAGGTGAATCAAAGAAAAAAAAAACAAAAAAAAAAAACTAAACCCAAGAGGGTTCTAGCCTCAAGGTGAATGGTGTAAGAAATTAAAATCTAATTACAAATTAATTGTAAAATCTAAATTACAAAATAAATTATAAGAATTAAATATAATAAAATAAATCTAACCTATAAGCATAAAATAAATCTAAGGCAACAGGGTTCTAGCCTCTTGGCTATTTAACAAAAAAATAAAATCTAACTATAAGCATAGAAATAAATCAAACTAATAAGAAATAAATCAAACTAATAAGAAATAAAAAAGAAAAAAAAAGAAAAAAAATAAAAGAAATACAAACCTCCAAATAATTCTTTATCTCTATCTTTATCATTCAACAAAAATAAGAAATATTTAAAGTGATGAAAAAATTATTTTATTAATTGTGACAAAAGTTATAAATTTAGAAGGTCTTCTCAATTAAGAGTGGCCCTTCTTTCCAAATGGAGTTATAAAAATTTTTACACCCCTAACCCCTCACTCTCTATCCCTATTTATAGTAAACATCAATGAATGAGATCCCTTGGATTGAATCATTATCCAAAACCATCAAAAATCAGCTACTGATCTGTAACTGATTCGTAGCCATCGATACCAGCATCGATACTAGCATCAATGTCCAATCAAAAATCTGCATCCACAGATGGCTTCGTCTCGTCGAGATAAGCTATTTTCATATATTATATGTTAAATTACGCCTTCCGGATTGAGAGATATCGTCGTTTCTTTACGGCCAACCATCTTGAATATATTTTATTTTCATATTTGATTTTTTTTATTTTCTATGGCTTCTACATGCTACTCGGCTTGATTCTGAGCTTGAGATTTTTGGCTCTTGCTTGTGTTCTTCATCTAATTCATGAGCTTTTATTGAGAGATGGGATTTTTGGGCTTTATTCTTCATTAGCATGCAATTAAAGATAAAAATAATTATTAGTAATATATTTATTCATTAAAAATAGATAATAAGGGTATAAAATTGTAATAAAATATGATTATCAAATACCCCATACCTAAACTTTTGCTAGTCCTCTAGTAAAGAAAGAAAAATAAAATCCTAATTCACTTTCGCAGGAATCGTAATTGTATTTAGCGCATACAACAAACATTTAAACCTCTAGGTTATCCTAGTGGACGAGTTGTAGTCTCGTGAGGGTTTGCAGTGAATATACCCACAAAATTCGGTCAACTTTCCAATTTAAAGAGGTCAGTAAATAACTAAAATTACTTGATAAAATTAGACAATCTAATTGAAGCTAGTTATTACTCAAGAAAAAGTTTTTATATATAACTCCAAAGTGAATTTCCTAGAAAATATTCTCATTATTACAATACAAAACCAAGACAAACTTAGAAATTGAATTTAAAAGTTTTGAAAAAAACAAACTAAGTCTTTGTTTAAAATAATATTCAAGTTGCTTGATCAGAAATATTTTTCAAGGCCATATATACTATATATATATAACATTTGTTAGTATTGTATTATTATTATTAATTTTTTTAACTCTTTCTTCCTTGGTGATTTTTTTCTACTTTAACGGCCTTTCTAAGTGACCATTTAATGAGTTTTGGGCTAATGGATCCCAACCCAATTGGGCTTAGGTCATTAAGAATGGAAATACTCATTGGGCTTAATTACTCTGTCAGTTTATGCTTTATAAGATATAATCACCTTAAATTCAAGAGTTTTTTTTGTGCCCATTTTCTGCACTCTTCTTTTGTAATGCTATTTTTTTTATTATATATGTATATATATTCTAAAAAATATGTAAATCAAGACACTTTGAAAAATTATTTTCAACTCTAAGCTAAGCATGCAAAAATTTTATTATTTTAAATAAAAGTCCAAGTTAAGGCTTAAGTAAACTATACTACTTTAAAAATTATTTTTTAAAAAATTTATTTAGAGTTATCATAAAAGGTGAACTTAAGTAAATAACCAACTAGGGATTAGAAAATTTTAAATTTATCAAATAAATAAATTATTACTTAACTCTATCAATTTGGCAAGTGATAATATTTTTATAATATTTTAAGAAAGAAAAAGAAATAAAAAATGCAAATAAAAAGGTAAAATAAAGAGGAAAAAATAACTAATTCTCGCCCCCACACCTAAATTTTGTATTGTCCTCAATGCAAACTTTATGATGCACAAAGTAAAACAAATAAGAAGTGAAGTACTTACAATTAGTCGACTGATGAAAATCTGTAATTACCTTTGGTTTTGTGGAGGATGAAATCATCAATTTTATATATATATATATAATAGAATGAAATATTCAACATGAAGAGCTCGTGTTCTACATTGAATCCTACCTTATTGCTGAAAATTCTTTCCTGAGTTTTAAACAAATTCAAAATGATATAATCAACATTGTGCTAAAATTCTAAGCATATCTGGGTGTTTCATAATTCTTGTGGCAATGGAAGGTAGGTGTTATTGGTGTCATGTGTTTTGAACTTAGATTCTTGATTTATGAATGTTTGTTTTCTAACAAGCAATTTTTCTTTAACACTTTCCTCAACCCCAAGATTCAGGGTTGAGGTGTAAAAAATTAATTGTTGTTTATTTTCCAAAAATCTTAGTTCATCAAGAAAGAGTTTTTCAAAATTCAGTTTAAAGTAGTAATTGTTTAACATAGTTTTTTTAGTTTAACAAATTTGATATGCTTCTCCTAATATTTTCAGCTCCTCACCGAAAATTTCCTCAAAACTTGGATCCGACTCTTCTTCTTCTTCCTCTGGTCTTTCCTGAATTGAGTTATCAGAAGGAGAATGAATTGGAACAAGAATTTGGGTTAACAATCTTTCTTAAGTGTGTGCCAAATCAAGATGCTCAAATCACTTTGATGAATTTTTACTAACGATATGAAATGCAACCCTAGGAATTAAAAGCGACTAAAAAGGATAGTAAAAATAAAATCTTTTTTTAATTAGGGTTAACAATCAAATAAATGAGAAGGGGGGAATTTGTTTAAATTTATTATCTTGTTAGTAAATGTCAAAGTGGAGGGTGAATTTTATTATGGTCAACGAAAATAAAATCTTTTTTTTAAGATGCTAATTGTCACTAATTGTGAGAAACTAACTAAAGGTGTAGAATTAAAAATATTAGGAAGAAGACTTACCACAAGCGAATCTCCAATTCCTCAACCTCTAATTCTTGATCTTTAATCTCCAAGTAGTTCTTTCACAAGAAACACACAAGTTAAAGAACCAAAATAATAAAAAAAAATCCTACTTAAGCACCTTCCCCAGCAATAGTGCCAAAAACTTGATGCGGCATAAACATATACCAAAAATGTTACAAGTGTACAACCGTGTCAAGTTATAGTATAAAAAGTTATCGATCCCACGAGGAAGGTGTTTTGTAGGAGAAAATATAAATCGATTCTTATATTGTGTGCGTGACAAATAGGAGTGACGAATAAGTATGATTGTGGAGAGATGGAGAGAATGAAAATGATTATGTAAATGAATATATTTGAGAGTGGAAGTGATAAAAAAAATAAATGTGATCAACAAGGCTCGAAGGAAAAATCAATAAACAAATAAAAATCAAGAATGAAAAATAAAATTAATGAAAGTAAAGATGGTGGATTTAATTAAAGATATAGGTAATCTAAAATTGAACTCACTTCTTAGAAAAAGGTGATTTCCTAGAGGGTTCTAGTCTAAACGTGAATCAAAAGAAATAAAAATAAACAAAAAGAAAAACTAAACCCAAGAGGGTTCTACCCTCAAGGTGAATAGTACAAAAAATTAAAATCTAACTATAAAATAAATTATAAAATCTAAACTACAAAATAAATTATAAGGATTAAATACAAGAAAATAAATCTAACCTATAAACATAAAATAAATCTAAGACAAGAGGGTTATAGTCTTTTGGCTATTTAACAAGAAAATAAAATCTAACTACAAGCATAGAAATAAATCTAAACTAATAAGCAATAAAAAAGAAATGAAAGAGAAAAATAAAAGGAATGCAAACCTTCAAATAATTCTTCATCTCCATCTTCATCATCCAACAAAGATAAGAAATATTTAAAATGGTAAAAAAATTATTTTATTAATTGTAACAAAAGTTATAAATTTAGAAGGTCTTCTCAATTAAGAGTGATCCTCCTCTCCAAATAGAGTTACAAAAATTTTCACACCCCTAACCCCTCACTCTCTACCCCTATTTATAGTAAACATCAATGAATGAGAGCTCTTGGATTGAATCCTTATCTAAAACCATCAAAAATCAGCCATTGATTTGTAACTGATTCGTAGCCATCGATACCAGCATCGATGCTAGCATCGATGTCGGTATCGATGCCAGCATCGATACTGGCATCAATGTCCAATCAAAAATCTACCTCTACAGATGGGTTCGTCTCGTCGAGATAGGCGATTTTCATATATTATATGTTAAATTCCGTCTTCCGGATTGAGAGATATCGTCGTTTCTTTACGGCCAACCATCTTGAATATATTTTGTTTTCATATTTGATTTTTTTTTTCTCTGGCTTCTACAAGCTACTCGGCTTGATTCCGAGCTTAGGATTTTTGGCTCTTGCTTGTGTTCTTTATTTAATTCATGAGCTTTTGTTGAAAGATGGGATTTTTGGGCTGTATTATTCATTAACCTGCAATTAAAGATAAAAATAATTATTAGTGGTATATTTATTAATTAAAAATAGATAATGAGGGTATAAAATTATAATAAAATGTGATTATCAGTGATCGATCCCCCCCCAAGTGTACAAAGGTTCATAGATACTAGTTGAAGCTACAAATGACTTATCTGTAGATATACCCGACACTGTGGATGTTCTTGCTCTTTTTATTGCTCGGGCAGTGGTCGATGAAATACTCCCTCCAGCTTTTCTCACAAAAGAGAGGAAAGACTTATCAGAAGACTCAAAGGGGATTCAAGTGATAAAGAGAGCAGAAAAAGGCTATGTATCAGCTCCCCTCCATGCTGAGATTATACTGAGAAAATGGGGAGGAAGCAAGAGCACTATAGTGGATGACATAAAAGCTAACATTAACGACCTTCTGATTGAGTATATTACAAGTGGAGACAAGAAAGAGGCTTGTAGCTGTGTTAAGAATCTCAAAGTTCCTTTCTTTCACCATGACATAGTGAACCGAGCACTGATTTTAGCTATGGAAAGACGACCAGCTGAGGGACTGATCTTGGATTTGATTAAGGTAGCTTATGAAGAAGGGATAATCAATGTCAGTCAAATATCTAAAGAATTCAACCGTCTCATTGATACAATTGATGACTTGTGCCATCACATTCCAAGTGCGAGAAGTCTCTTACAGCCTTTGATATTTGACTGGAACTAACACGCGGTGGGTTAGAACTAACATGTGGTTAGGACTAACACAAGAGCCTAAGGACTATGAATTAGAGCTAGAACTAATACGCGGTGGGTTAGAACTAACACGCGATGGGTTAGGACTAACACAAGAGCCTAAGGACCATGAATTAGAACTAGAACTAACACACGTTGGGTTAGAACTAACACGCGGTGGGTTAGAACTAACACAACAGTCCAATGGCCATGAATTAGAACTAGAACTAACTCAGTTTTAACTCATTGCATGCCTAAAAAGCTGCCAAAGGCACTTCAAACACCAAAGGAAAATACGTATCAGACCAAACCAGCAGAGACGCCGAAGTTAGAACGCGATGGATAATCTAAGCAATCTTCATAAAAGAAGCAAGAAAACACATGATTTGTTTATAGAAATAAAAGATAACTAAGAAAAGACTATCATCGTCATCATCATCCCTGAGACTGCTATTCACCTAATCGGCAACTTATTCTCCTCCAAGAAGCTATAAGTCGGCACCTACAAAATTAAACGGAGCGGTCCCCATCCTAATCCTTCCATAAATATCATAATGCGATTCATGGCATGGACAAAACCAACCCCCAAAATCTCCAGCATTTGGTAAGGGAATACAACCTAAGTGTGTACAAACACCCACAACAACAAGCCACTCTGGGTTCTTTACCCTAGCCGAATCCTCTTGTGGATCACAGAGCGAGCCCACATCAACACCATTTGTAGACTTAATATCATCTTCGGTTCTCCTCTGAATGAACACTGTCTTCCCCTCCACTTGACTATCACAGTTGATCCTGGTTCGATTCTAGAGAGATCGACTTCAAGAGAGGCTAGAGCGAGAACATCTTTGCTTGTTGACATGCTGAGGACTAGCTTGAGAACAAGGAGGCGGAGGAGTGAAGAGTAGACAAGGAGTCGGCGAACTCCGGCGTAGTTAAGGGCGAGGCGGGGAGCGACGACGAGCTACGGCGACGAGGTCGGGCAGAGGAGAGGAGGGGAGGCGGCGACGAACTCGAGGGCCGAACTCGCGGGGCGCAGATCTGGAGCCCGACTTCGTGGTGAAGGGCGTAGTCACAGGTGGGAGCGGGGCTTGAGAGCTTGAGAGAGAGAGAGGAGAGAGGAGAGAGAGAGAGAGAGAGAGAGAGAGAGAGAGAGAGAGCACTGGGTTTGAGAGATTGAGAAGATGAAATAAGGATATTTTGGGGATTTTAGCTCAGGTGGCATGCAATAAATGCTAAAAAGGTACAACACAAAATGTTACATTTTAAGGGGCTGAATCACATGGGGGAAAGTTGAAGGGGCTGCAGCACATGAAGTTTCTGCTTTTGGGGCCCGACACAATTTTCCCAAGAATAAATCATCAATAAGGGTAATTTCGGAAATTTTAACTTAAACCAAAGTTTTCTTCTTGCTGGTAGCTTTGTTTCTTCTTCCCCACTTTCTCTTGACCTTCTTCATCTCCTTGCTAAATGAAAAGAATGGGTTAAATCGGGATGTGTAATTCAAAATTTGATACAAATTGGTCTTTCAAGTGTTATGATGATTAGAAGAGATAGCACCGAGCAATTCAGCCCGACTCTTTGATGTGGATTGTTGGGTTTGTCGGGACTTGGAATCATGTTATTTTGCGTCCAATTCTTTGCTGCGGATTCAGAGGAGTTCATAAGAAGATGAATGGTTTTGTTAGTTGCTTTAGAGTAAGTAGAGGAGCAGCGGACCAACTATTTTGTTGAGTTGAGAAGCGTGATGAATACTGACGAATATTTTATTATTTTTTTAGAATACAAATATTTTTTTTACTACAAACTACTACATGACTACACTCTTTTACAAATACTCACTATTTATTTTTATTTTTCTTTATTTCTCACTTTATTTTTCTCTTGCTAGTGGGATGATGTCTACAGAATGGTTTAGGGAGTCATTTATAGGTGATATTGCGGTAGGTGTACACGATAGAAATTAGGCTGCTACAGTGTTGCTACAATGACAGTAGGCGGATCTTGTAGCTGGTGAATATTGTAGCTAGGTTACTGTTGAAATAGTGGCTGAGGTAGATAACTGCTGACTTTAACATATTTATCATAAAAAAAGATCGGATCGGTGATTGGGGAGATCCTCGTCGGCAATCGCTAGGCATCAAGAGAGGATAACAGAAAAGATACATTGAAGCAGGTTAATTTTTGATGATTTTGAGAGAAGATAAAGCATTAACTAGCTGCCCAGAAGTGGAAAATTTCGGACAAAAATACCCTTAATTGGGAATTAATTATCATTAATTAACACCAGCTGTAATTAACATGTCAGTTTGCCACATGTAGATCTTTCCCATTTTCGGGTCCGGCTAGCACTCATCTTAAGCATTTGCTATAGACAATCGCTGCCAACTGGCAACGTGTTTTCCCCATTTCGAAGGGACCGAGTTTAATGGGCTGATTTATGCGTATAGCACCTTACATTAATATGGGATTTTGCACTATATTAATTTTATAAAAGATCTATGTTTTTCTATAATGACTAGTACTTATTTAAAAAGGCAAATGGTTATGGTGTGATTTTCAAAAAGAGAAAAGGATAGTTTAATTAAAGTAAAAAATTATGAAATTTGTTACATGAATAAAAAATCTCCAACATGTAGCCTATTATTCTTTTAATAATTTTATACGAATCTTTCTTTTTAGTATAATATTTTTCCATAAATTCATTAATTAGATTTGTCAGAATACATCCGGTGAAGTAGTATAAACTAGGCCAAAGAAATCAAGATACAACGTTAAAAAAACGCCTTTCATTGCGCACCAAACATTAATAATTCAATATAAACAATTAATTAAAGGGTTCAACAAACATAAATTAAATAATAATAATAGTTAGATTATTAGAAATATAAATAAACATAGAGGAGAGGAATATAAACATGGACCTAATGGGAAGAGGACGTAAATTTAGTAAGCAATGAATAGTAATTAGACTGGAAGTTACAAACTTAACCTAGTTTTTTGGACTAGAGGAATAATATCCTTTCGGCGCCAATCAGTGAGAAAAGGAGGAAAGAAAAAACGGCGGAGTAGGAGATGAGGTAAATACAGGGGTATTTTGGTAATATTATCTTTTATCTTCGGCATTATTTGGTTCCCATTCCGTAATATTTTGCATACGGTGCGCACCTGGCATCAATGGTCTACTGGTAGTCGTTTTTGGCTGCTGCCAATAGAATTCCTCATTTTTTGAATGCTACACATTTATGTTATTTTGTGGAACTGTTTCAAATGCATGGGTTAAAATTAATCGTTAAGGTGTTACACAATTTATTTATTACACACAAAGGTATATCGTATCAATGCATGCGTTGCACGCAATCAAAAACTAGTTTGTTAGTTTTTTAAAAAAAAAGACATGTTTACCGTAGCAACTAAGATGAATAAACAAAGGACGTACATATAAATCAATTAAAATCTATTTGCTAGTCCATTGCTTATTCTACAAACATACAAGGTCAAATATGATAATATGCAATTATCAACAAAACAAGCAATTATATGTTTTAAAGAAAACCCTGACGAATTTAAGATAAAACTCATCATTTACCCCCTTTTGTGATATATAGTTTCTGTTCCTCAGCTTATTATTAGTGCTTCTCGTCTCAGAATTCACTGGAAGAGCTATATATTGCTCAATGAAGTAAACATTTCAGAAATAATAAGTACTAATGAGAGTGTTAATCTAAGGCTAAATAGCAGAGAACCCACTTAGGGGGCGTTTGGTTGTTGTTTTTTGAGAGTGAAAAGGCCCGAAAGCCTGACACAGTGTCAGGCTTTCGGGCCAAATCGGCTTCTCAGAGTTTTGAGAGTGAAAAGGCCCGAAAGCCTGACACAGTGTCAGGCTTTCGGGCCAAATCGGCTTCTCAGAGGGCGTTTTTGCCCACTTCCCTGACACAGATGGGACACTGTGTCAGGGTTTCAGCCTTTTTCACCCCAAACCAAACAGCCCCTTAACTTTGGATGATTATAAGATAAACACCTATAACTATCAGAAAACCCTCTTAAATTGCAGAGAACCCGCAGTTATATGTTTCCGCTGTCTCCGGCCGACACTTGATATTCGAGTCAACCCCCCATGTTTTGATTTAGGGCTTTTTGTTTTTAGGTCCAATTGTTTACCTATCTTTCCCTTAAACCCAAGTATTATTAGTTTTATCTTTAAACTCAACTTTCTTTTTGTATTTATCTTTAAACCCAATTCCAAAATACAACTACTCTCATACGTGGGTCCCTCTATGTATTTTTCTAAAATTCCAATAATAGCCTTCTACTTATAGCTTTTATATAAGTGGGTCCCCTTCAAATAAAATAAATAAAAATAGAGAGAGAGAGGAGAAAAATTAGCGGTAAATTCCCCCCCCCTCTCTCTCCGTCTTCTATCTCTCTCCCCCTCTTCTTCTCCCTTTCTCTCATTCCATTAATAGAACTCCTATAACCCATCATTTAATAACTCTCTCCTATAACCCAGCAATTATTTCTCACCAACTTTCTTAGCATTTGAAGGTACAAATTTACAATTTACTCAACTACCAAGTTTATAGGATTAATTTCTCATTTTAATCATGACAATTATTTGATATGTTAGTTAAATGAGTTCATAAAAATTATTAAATTCGTTATTTTTGGTTAAATGTTAGTTAAATGAGGTTTTGTAATTAACCACCCATTAATTTCACATTATTAATTCACATTAGTTATTTCACATAATTATTTCACACTAGTTTCTCATTATTCTTTATGAATTCATAACAATTAGTTAAATATTAGTCAAATTTGTTATAATTGATGAAATTTTAGTTAAATTTGATTTTAGTGTAGAATGATAACATGTAAGAATAGCATGAAATACAAGACTTGTAAGTATTGCACGTTAATCTGCTTAGTGTAGAATGATAACATGTAAGAATAGCATGAAATACAAGACTTGTAAGTATTGCACGTTAATCTGAA